CCTTTAAATACTATTTCTATATCAATGTTGGGGAGTGTTACTAAGATGACAATTAGTTAACATCTTGACATTAGTTATAGTAATAATTATTTCTTCCTCTACGTTAATATTGGGGAGTGTTACTTAGATGACAATTAGTTAACATCTTGATATTAACTATAGTAGGATTCATCTTCTTTAATATTCTTTCTTGAGTATTAATTAATTCCTATTCATATTTCATATTAATATTTTGAACATTACTTAAAGGATCAACTAGTTTTGTTTCATATATTAATTAATACTAGAATCGGTCGATTAATACGCTTGTTATTAATTCGGTCCTTTCATGGTAGTAAACTTGGATTATTAATGCATGCATCTCATGGTTAATAATCTAAGGGGAATTAATTATATTGATTAAACCAATAAACCGCTTGTGTTGAGGTTATCAATCTCAATCGTTTTCATCTTAAGTTTATTGCTACTATCAATTTAATATACGGCGCTTGTTCTATATTGACTCGATAGTAAGTTTTATTAATGAACGCTTCTCATTATTAATAACTACCCTCGATGAACTGGATATACTCCTCGATTGAGTATTCGAGAGGAAGATAGTTAAAGATATAACCGAGATCGACGAACATTTCATTAAGTGGATAAAAGCAAAGCCAAGTCTTCTTCTCATTAATTAAACCACATAACTCGTTCATCTTTGTGTTTAAATATATTTAAGATCATCAACAATCTGAAACCCCCCTTGTTACTATTTATTAAAAAGAGAAGTATTCCTTTCCCTGTGGATACGAACCTTACTACGCTATACTACGTATAAGTGTTGTATTGATATTTATTTTGAGTGCACACCACGACAAAGTGCACGCCACATACCTTATTTGGTAAAATTTGTGTGACTCAAAATCATTCTTACTTTATTATTACTTTATCAATTAATATCAACCACACAAACTCACTTTTCTTAAAACCCGTGCCACCCTCTTCTGGGACATTTAAAAGGGGACGGAGGGAGTACATAGTAATTGTTGGGAAAACTCCTACTTTCCCATTTCGCAAAGTTAAGAGACATTTAGGATTAAAGCTAATAATGGGAGGACACGATACAATTACCAATATCGAGATTCTTCCACTATACAAAAGAATTGTAGAATTACATAAATGTGTGTACAAAATTGATTTATTCTACGGTGGCTCATTCAAACTTGAGGATAGAGACTTCTCAAACTATCTCTTTTTCTCTCAATGAAGCTCTTTCGATCACTCTCTACTTTCTCACTCCAGGAAGAAGCTTCTCTCTTGACTAGATGGTCAAGAATGAAGCCTCCTATCCCTATCCATACTACCAGGGATGGAGGTACATGTATGGGCTTGGCCCCCCAACTTTTTTACGAAGTATTTTTTAGTAGTACTAATATTAGATATGAAATAATATGAAAAGATTAGGTCAGAACTATCTGATAGAAGCTTAAATGCTTTCGGTAGAATTTTTTGATAAAATTTTGTTAGAATGTTTTCCATAAAGTGTAGATTATGTCCACCAAACTTCAATTTAAAATTCAATCGGGAAGTTAATTAAATAAATTATGAAAAAACACTACATTTTTATATATGTTTTGGCACAATGATTTTCAATAGTTTATTTAACTGACTTTGCGATTGATTTTTAAATAGAAATTTGGTGTAAATAATGTACACATGATGAAGAACATTCTCAAAAAATCCCATAAAAAATCAATCCGAAAGCACCTAAAACTTAGGCGGCTAGAAGGCGAATACTGTTAGGTAATTTTGACAGGATCACTACTCATGCAATAATTACATATATATGATTAAACTAGGACAAAATATTGGTTATTTGTGAAATAGATCTTATTTAGTCCGATTAAAAATGATTTGATTAAAGTTTGCCAAAATAGGAGTGAATAAGTTCTATTTTGAAAATAAAACAATGATAATCCTATTTATGAACTTTATTTTTGTTTTAGTCTTATTTAGAGAATTTTCTCTTTATTGTTTGTGTTACTTCTTGACCCCCCATGACTAAATCCTGGCTCCGTCCATGCTGATACTACACCACCTTCAGAATGAATGTTGATGATTATTTGTATCCAAGAGTGAAGATTGATTCTCAAGAATTTTCTATACTCCTATCCATATTCTTCCATACTCTTCTATAAGATTCTGGAAGGTTCTGCACATTTATAAAATACTAGTTTTTCTGCGCGCGATGCGCGATTGAGTTCATGCCCAATATGATATATGTAATGTAAATATTAATATATTTTCTAGGTTGGCCTTTTTTACACTTTAATCCATTGAATTATGTATACATGCGCTTCGGAAAATTTAAAAGTAAATTTAGGTATCATATTTTTGAAATAAAAATGAGTAGGCATATAAATACATTGATCAAAAAGAGCATAATCGTGGCAAAATACAACAACCAGTTTTGGTAGACGAAAACAAAATTAAAGCATACTTTGTGATAAAATATACTCCGTATTATTATATATATTAACCAAGCTAAGTGATGAAGACTAAAAAAACAAAGTTCCCAGCCACTGTGTGACTATGTCTCATATGATGAAGGGTAGCTGTCACCAGGTTGTATAACTTAAGCTTACTTAGCACCTAAACATAAATATCGTTACAAAATTGATGTCACTATGAGAGCTCAAGGAGTTAAATAATCGCGTACAAAAATAAAAACTATTACTATAAATGTCTAGTGATGCATAACTGACACTACAAGAAAAGTGCACATAGACCGCACATAGACCAATATTTTTTTTGCGATTGCAGCATAATTGTCGTTAAAAACACCATTAACCACGCACAAACACCGCGTATGTCACATACTCACTTATACTCCGTACTATTTAATGAAACAATAATGTGTGGAAATTGACAAGTGTGTCATTATATTTAAAAGTAGATCTGATCTCTATTTGATGGCTAACTAACATTAATGTTAAACAATTATATCACATAATTTAAATTAATACATTACACACTTAGAGCCCGTTTGGTAACACTGAAATTGACTGGATCTGCGGAAACTTGTGAAGTTTTGGGTGAAATGGATAGATTGACTGACTATTTTGATTTATGAGAAAATTATATTAAAAATATTTTTTAATAATAGAATTAAGAAAAAAATATTTGAAAAAATAGCGACAATGATAATTTACAGTAACTTTAGCCAATACAGCCATAAAAGTAACTACAACCTTATTTTTTCTTATTATTAAACAATTCAACGCGCAAAATAAAATGTTACGAGCCCGTTTACCATGCTGGTCGGGCTTATCAGTCAGTTTTTTCACCAAACACGTAACTTTTGATTCCGCGCGATGAAGTGTGTAATAACAAGAAAAAGTAAGGTTGAAGTTAGTGTTTGGTTGTATTGGCTTAAGTTATGTGGATGAACATTTTAGATGTTTTTCATATAATTTTTTATTTATTTTTTAATAAAAAAATATTTTAAATATAATCTTTTCATAAATCAGCATTATCAGTCAATAGAGTCACTTCAGCTAGAACTTCTTAAATTTCAGCAGAATAAGTCACTTCAGCCAATTTCAAAGTTACCAAACGGACTCTTGATGAAAAAGCTGATTGAAAAGCTTGACAAGTCAGAAAACAGGATCACCAAACGGACCTTTATACTCCGTATGAAAGTACCCAACATCATCTTTCTGATCTATACCTAAGTTTAGAAAATGCTCGTTGGATCGATAATGAGAAGATTTTATATTTAAACTATATCGAACCAATACCATGCATTAATTAAGAACTTGGTTCTAAAAAACGAATTACAAATTAATAAAAGGTATGGGTCAACATTAGACTATGGATGGCTATCCACTCTTCTAAATCTAAACTTTAATACGGAGTATAAAGCCTTTGAACGGAGATAATTAAAGAAGCCGATAGAGAGTTTTACGGAGTGTAGCCGGAGTTATAGTTAAGTAACGGTAAGTTGGGGATATTTGTGGTATAAAAAGAGTTGAAGTGATTAGAGTACAATAGTTTATGCATACGTTTCAAGTTCATTTTAGCATGTGGTTACACCAACACATTTTTCAAGTCCAAAATAACCTAACCTTCATTCACCCTTATAATTTTTTAGATTCAAGAGGGTTCCACATTATTCTTCCAAAAGCTTCTACATAGTTCAACACTTCTCTTGATCTGAGTTCTCCAAAACATTCTAGAAAATTCCACATTCCTCTAGAAAGTTTTAGAATTTTCTAAAACTTCTTGAATGAAGAATGGATCCCAATAATAATTAATTCTCAATTTGTTTGAGTTATGTACATGTTGAACTATTTAAAAGGGGATATATGTCTGCTAAAGTATTCATAAATTAATGGTACAATATGTTGATATACTAGGGGTTCGTTAATGCACGGTCGTAGTTTATGCCGTTGAAGGAGTTGGTGCGGGCACGGTCTAGGATTAAGGTTATCCCGATCTCAATCCAATTAGTAATAATGGTTCGAATTAATGATATGGGACAAATAACCATTGTCCTAATCTTTTTCAATTTAGACCACGACCGGAAAATTAACAAAAAAACAACTAATCAAAAAAGTTTTTCATTCATTCCTAAGTACCATGTGTTAGATTATATATATAAGCACACATAGGTATTTAATGGAATAAATATTAAACCATAAAATGTGAGCTTACCAGAAGAGAGGGTAGAGGTCCCTATTTATAGGGTACAAAGGAAGGGAAACACTTACGAGTTTAAAATAAAATAAAATAAATAACTATAAATGCTAACACCATGAAAATTTACTCCCTTACATGATGAATAAAATGAGGGTATGATTTGTGCAACAACGTGTGAAAAAGTGTCACATGAATTCGAGCAGTTTAAAACAGGAAATGTAAAGATTTAAGATGGAAATAAATATGGGGTACAGAGTCAAATTGTCACATGAATTCTAAAATAATATCGGTTGTGTGATACGATTGTGATTATTATATAGGTCCTTTTGAATATTTTTTGGAAAGTGATGGCAAATTCAAGGAATCCATGATCAACAATGTGGATGCAATGTTAAGCTTGTATGAGGCGTCACATGTTAGAGTTCACGGGGAAAAGATTTTGGATGAAGCACTCATATTTACCACTACTCATCTACAAACCCTATTCACAAACTCTAAAGTTAGTGAAGCACTAGAACAGCCCATTTGTAAAAGATTAGCCAGGATAGATGCAAGAAAATACATATCCATTTACCAACTTGATGAATCGCATGATGCTGTTCTGTTGGAATTTGCAAAACTGGATTTCAACTTGTTGCAAAGACAGCATCAGAAGGAGCTAGGCAGCCTTACAAGGTAGGTAATCAATCTCTATTCTCGAGCCATATAAAATAAAATGTTATGCCTCCGTCCTTTAAAACTTTATTATCTATGAAACTTTGATAGGATCAATTATATATTTTTATTGAAAGTTATTTATAATATAAAAACGATATGAAAATATTCTTTGTTAAAAGTACTTTCACAAAAGTATACATTTATAACTTTCAAAATATTATAATAATCAAAATAATGGTCTAAAATTTATGAGATGACGAAGTTTTATGTGACGGAGGCAGTATTAATTAGCGTTACATTATTAGATATGCATTGCAATCTTATACGGAGTACGTAGTATTACGTAGGGGTGAACAAAAAAACCGAAAAACCGAAACCGACCGAAACCGAACCGACCAAAACCGAAACCGACTCAAACCGATTAAACATTGGCGGTTCGGTTTACGGTTTCACCTTTGGGGTTAAAAAACCGACCGAACCGAAACCGACCGACAAAAACCGACAAAAACATGCTAAAACTAACCGAAACCGACACGAACCGACCGATATTAACCGAACCAAAACCGAACCGAAACCGACTCAAGTAGTGCGGTTCGGTTTACGGTTTCAGCTTTTCCGGAAAAAAACCGACCAAACCGAACCGACCAAACTGAAAACCGACCAAACCGAACCGACGAACACCCCTACTATTACGTAGTACTTTAAATATAGCTGCATTTGTATGCTATGTAGTGTCCTATGTCTTATCCATCACAGCTCTGAGCTCTATTCCTTAATTTGAACCTTGTTTAAACATATCTGATCTGTGTGTGTTGGTCTTTTGATTTTCATATGCCAACTCGCTGGGTCGTTTTGACCGTTCTTAGTTGAGGCAACCTCCAAGCTAAGCAATTAATTGTTTTTTCAATAACAGAACACAGTATCAAAATTTACCATCACAATAAAATAGAAAAGGTTCAGTAAATTCGATACGAACTACGTTAATATTCATGAATATCGTTGATAAGATCAAATATATGAATTGAAATGCATATATATTCTCACATATGTGTATATATGCCTACATATTGAGAGTATTTTTATTGATCATTAGGTTTAATGTGAAAAACATGAATCTTTCACTTTTAAATCTTTATGTTGATGTTTATATTCAACTTTCCCTTTCTTATTTGCTTATTTAATATGACACTTATACAATCATTAGATCTACTACGTACTAGCGCAGATAGTACATTCAAATATAATGTCTCTAGAGCTGTAGATTCATTTCCATTTCTTAGATTAAGCCTATCCAGTAATTGAACATTTGTATCTACCTATGTTACGTTGTATACAGGTGGTGGAAAGAATTAGATGCAGCAGAAAAACTGCCATTCGCTAGAGATAGAATGGTAGAGTGCTATTTGTGGACATTGGGAGTGTACTTTGAACCACAATATGGTTTTGCAAGAGACTTTTTTCTTAAAATAATATCTCTGACTTCAATCCTTGATGACATATATGACGTTTATGGAACTCTTGAAGAGCTCCGGTTATTCACTCATGCTTTCCAACGGTTCGTTTAATCATGAATAAGTCTCACTTTTTGGAAAAGGTCAAATAAGGGGGTTAGTGGCGGCCCTGTATGTTCAAAGGTCTAGGGGCGGAAAATTAAAATGGACCTAATGTTACAAGAAATTTGTAGAACTCCTTTCTATCTTAAATGACATGCATAATAATTATAATAATAATATTTTAAGACATTTAGAATTTGACTATGTGTTCCACATTCAGAATATGTTTTCTCTGCACAAACAAACTTTTCCATTGAGTTTTTTTACTTATCGTCGCTTTTTCTAATCTTCTATTCTTTTGTATGGAGTATTTATCGTATTCAGATTCAATCCTTTTTATTACACTTTGAAATTAATTAAGTTTATAAATTTTATCATAATTGAAAATGTTTGTCTAACAAAATCAACAAGTTATAACACCAACACTCAATAAAAAAAACAATCAACAATTAAGAAATCAAACAACCATGAATGAAATCAATTAATAAACTAATCAAATAATCATATCCGACTAATCTGCTTTCGAGTGGAATTTCTTTATGAAATTTTAAGTGAATGTTTTTCATCACGTGTAGATTATGTTTATAAAATTTCAGCTTAAACTGCAATCGTGAAGTCAGTTAAAAAAATTATTGAAACACAATGCGCCAAAATATGTATAAAAAAGTAGTGTTTTAAATAATTTATTTAGGTGACTTCTAAATTAAACTTTAAACTGATTTTTTCTCACATATTCTAAACCTCATAGAAAACATTAAGAAGAACTTCAACAAATTCCACTCGAAAAGTTGTTACTTTAGGGCCGAAAAAATCAGTCTACTCACATCTGTTACAAAGAACTAAACTTGGGCCTATTTTTTACCCATATTTTTTTGGGCCTAGGGCACCCGCCCCACTTGCACCCCCTAGGGCCGCCCCTGAGGGGGTCTTTTGGATCTGATTCTCAAAACTGATTCTGCTCCTTCAGGGAGCAGAAGCAGAAGCTGGAGTGTTTGGGTGAAATTCCAGAAGCACTTCTGGTGTTCTAATTTACTCTCAGAATCAGTTTTTTTAGAAGCTGGGGGGTACCAGCTTCGGAAAACTGATTCTGATTCTGCTTCTGCTTTAAAAAAGAAGCAGAAGCAGAATAAGTTCCAAACACCCCCAAACACTATTATTTTTAAATCAACCTTCGGCTCCTATTTAATAGGTCATATAAACACGCTTAGGACATTTTCATTTTCAGATTAGACCATATTTAAACAAACCAGACATGACCAGATCAGACCAGAATTGGACAGTTATAAAACACACAGAGACCTGGCGTTTGCCAGATCAAACCAAATTTAAACAGACCAGATAAGACCAAACCAATTTTTTTAGTTCAATTGAAAACAATCTCACTTTGCAATCCAATCACTTTACAAGTTCTTGACCTTTTAAAAGAAGACGTTTTAAAAAAAGAATAAGAAAATTGATAAATGTGTAAGGAGTCATATTTAAAAATGTTTAAAAATATATATTAGTAAAAAATAAAAAATAGAAATAAAAAAATAAATATCATTAGAATAATAAATAAATAATAAAAAAGTGAAAATATTAAACAAAAATGTACAAAATATACAAGTGAAAATGTTTTTATTGAAATGTAGAATATCAAAATAATACCAAGATACAAAAAATAGTTTTTCACCGTTTTATTTATTTTAAAATCTTTTTTTGATATTCTTTGCAACTTCTCAATTTTTTAAAAAGTGACCAGCTACTATAGAAGCTATGGCTAAGAAGGAGAAATTTGATTGTACACTCCATTTTTGGGCTTTATTGGAGTTTGCACCTCATGTTTAGAACCATTAATGTTTGCATCTCATCAAGACAAAAAATTATAAAGGAATGGGTGGCATAAAGTCAATTGATTTTATACTAAATATAATGCACAGATTAATGAGTCTGAAAGTTGGATGCAAATTCCAATATATGTCACTCAAAAAATGAGTGCAAAGTCAAATTCTCCGACTAAAAACAAGTAAAATGGTTGATTGTTTTGTCAAAGTAAGCGTGTTTATATGTACTTTTGTTGATACAAGTGTTTAGATGATGGATTTGAAAATGTAGACTGATCTATTTATTTGGACGTTTGACCTAATTTTTGTAATCACTTGAAGATACACACTGACATACACGTACGTAGGGATAATGTTCATCTACTGGGATATAGTAAACCAACTTCGGTTTATATTTGGCTATTTGCGTGCAGATTATATGAGAGTAATGCAAACGAATTGCCAGAATATATGAAAATAGTCTACACAGCCTTTGTAGACGCATATGCTGAAATGGACAAAAAGTTGGTAGCCACAGGGGAATCATACCGCATCAATTATGCCAAAATTGAGGTACGTACTTAAACCTAAAACAAATCAAATCCATCATCTAAACCACCAGACTCAATTCAGGACCCAAAGATGGATAAACTATCAATCCGAGATATCAAGATGAAATGTATCGGTACATGGTATAAGATCCGAATGATGAAAAACTATCAATCAAGTACCTAACATTTCATAGGTTTTGATTTCTTTAATTTTCTTATATTAATTCCATTGCTAGTTTTTGATAAACTTGTCTTCACAAAAGTTTATTACGGAGTAGTTTAATAAAACCAAATAATGTTTAAAATTTTTAAAATAAAAATAAAATAATAGAATTCATGACAACTTAGGTCCTAGATTGATAATTTTTTATCATTCAGGTCCTAAATTGATAGTTTTCTATCATCTGGGTCCTATATCGATACATTTTCTCTTTCAGGTTCAAGATTGATAATTATCTATCTTTCGGGTTCTGAATTGATAATTTCAGTCTCAAATCATATTGAATCAAACCATACCACATGCATGCATTTAAACATAGTAGACAGGTCATACAAGATCGACTTTAGCAATTATATTCTAGGAGTTATCTTCAAGAATTCATTTGAATGCCTTCCCGATTGAATTGTTAGCTGAAATTTGGTATGAGTAAACTAGACTTAATAAATAACATGCTCAAAAAATTTCATCAAAAAATTCTATGGGGAACTGCCCCAAATGGCGACGGCCGGATAGAGCCTCCTATATAAAGGCTTATTTAATCTTTTTATTTAAGTTCGAAGGTCTATTTGACTCTTTTTCCAATAAATAATAAAACTTAGAACCTTTTTTTACAAGTTTAGGGTGCGCGGTTTGGAATTTTTTTATTATTCATGTGGGTGTTCAATTGAGCAAACGTGATAAGTGTAAGGGGTCTAGTTGAGTATTTGACCCTTACACAAAAAAAATATTATAGCTAGAGGTTTGATCCTAAATAATCATGCTCCACACGAAGTTATATTTATTATTCGAGCAGATCAATATTAAATAATGTATCATCTCTTAATACAAGACTAAAATTTAAGATTATATACTTTTTGTGACCAATCATCCATGTTTTGTTGACCATTATTAAATCCACTTTAATACAAGACTAAAATTTAAGATTATATACTTTTTGATCATCTTAGTTAGGAAAAGAATAGAGAAGTAGTAGCTTTAGAGCCTGTTTGTAATTATGTTTTGGGCTTATCAGTCAACTTTTTAACTAAAAAAGACAAGTTATGATTTCGCGCACCAAATTGTTCAATAATAAGAAAAAGTAAGTTGAAGTTACTTTTCTGGTTGTATTGGCTGAAGTTACTGTAGGTAACCACTTTAGCCATTTTTCATATAATTGTTTCTTTATTTTATAAATAAAATATATTTTAAATATAATTTTTTCATAAATCACCATAATCGGCCACTTCAGTCACTTCAACCAGAATTTCATAAATTTCAGAATAATCAGTCGGTTTTAGTGTTACCAAACAGGTTCTTAGTGTTTTATATACAAATTATGTGAATTGAATGCGATTCTTTTTATATTAAACCAGCGTGGTATCACTTAAAAAAATTCCCATACTAAATCGGGAACATACTATTTGGAGTATGATGTTTATGTTGGTATGTGTATGATTAGATGAAGAAATTAGTGGATGCATACTATGAAGAAGCCAAGTGGTTGTATGTTGATGGGTCTCCAACTTATGATCAGTACATGAGGGTGGCACTTCAGACAGGTGCTCATTTGATGCTAGCAACAACTTCTTTAGTAGGAATGCAAGAAGAGTTCGTAACTAAAGAGACCTTTGATTGGCTGAGTCAAGATCCTTTAATTGTTCGAGCTTCTGCCATTATTGGCAGATTAAAGGATGACATAGCAGGACACAAGGTACTTATATTATAGACTCCCTAATAATTACTATTCCTTTCGTCCCGCTAACATTGTCTCATATTTCCTTTCCGGTTCGTCTCACTAAAGTTGTTTCATATCAAATTTGGTAACATTTGTGTGGTTCTAAATCATTCATACTTTCATCTGACTTTATCAATTCAATATCAATCACATAAACTTACTCTCGTAATAAGCGCACCTCCTCCTCATATCCTAATGTTAGTGGGACAGAGGTAGTATGAGTATGTAGTCTTGATAGTCCCACCAAAACGCCAACCTCTCCATACGGCAGAGACGCTTAGCGTACGTTAGGGACGTTCCTATGAAACAAATGAATCGGTGTAGAGATTTAAAAAAAATAACACATGTACATCTTCAGGCATTGTTCTTTTTTGTCTGACGATTAAAGATTGAGATCGGTTCGGCAGGGCAGAGTATTTGACTTTTTGCATCAAGAAGTATAGTAGTTGTAGTCAAGAGGTATAAATTGAATTGGACCGCTACAAAGAACTTTATCACAAACTTCTATACAAAATTTGATAAACATATATTCAAAGCTTTTTGAAGTTTAATTTGAGGCAGGGACCTAATATATACTCCCTCCGTCCCTCAATACTTTGCCAAGTTTGACCGGCACGGGGATTAATAAAGTAAAAACTGTGTGGTTGAGGTTTGTGCAGAGGAGAGAGAATTAACAGGAACCACAAATTCTTTACTTAAAGGGGAAAGTGGCAAAGTTAGTGGGACATCCAAAAAAGGAAAGTTGGCAAAGTTATAAGGGACGGAGGGAGTATGTTTATGCGCGCACATATATATAGAGAAAATTACTAGGAGTAACTAAAAGAGGTGATGATTTGTGAAATATGACTAAATGATATTTTATTCCTAAGATAATGGTATTATGCATGTATGGTATGCTTTTGTGCTATTTTTACTCCCTTCAATTTAATTATTACTAATACAAAAGCATATTTAAGTTTGCTAGTCATATATTAGAAATTTGTGAATGTTTTGATCATACACAGAGTATAAATACATTTCCCTATATATATATATGCATGTATAGTTTGAACAAGAAAGAGGGCATGTGGACTCGGCTGTAGAATGCTACATAAGACAATATGGGAAGTCAGAAGAAGAAGCTGTGAGAGAACTTGAAGAACAAGTCACCAATGCATGGAAAGACATCAATCAAGAATGCCTTAAACCAACTGCTACTTTTCCAATGCCAATACTCATCCGAGTTGTCAATCTTGCCAGGGTCATTGATTTGGTGTATGATGCTGATGGGGATTCATACACACATTCCTCAAAGCTTAAATCAATCATCACCTCTATCTTGGTTGATCCGGTCTTGTGAATCTCAAATAGTTAAATCTAGGCTAAAAAGTCAAATAGGCCCTTATATCGGTCCTGTAAGCTCAATTCAGTCCCTGAACTAAAAAAAGATTCAATCACCCCGCCCCTTCGGCAAAAAAAGGTTCAAATTTCATTTTTTAAGGTTAACAACAGGTAAAAAGGTCCAATTCGCACCCCTAAAGTATTAAAAGTGTCAAAATTGCAATAAATCGGAAATAAGAAACAAAAACAATTAAAAAATTGACCGGTTATTTACCCGTAAAAAATGAAATTTGAACCATTTTGTGTCGATCTAGGGTGTGAATGGAACCTTTTTTTAGTGCAAGGACTGAATTGAGCTTACACCCTTACACGACTGTTTAGCCTTAAATCTATCGAAGTTTTATTACTTGTAACTAATACCGAGTATAATATGGGTGTTTTTGTAAATTAAACAATAAAGGAGTATAATTTGAAGGACAATCATTACTTTTCCTTCTTCTATTTCTTTTTCTTTAATTTCTTATATAAAAGTTATAATTTACAAAAAAAATAAGATTTGGGAATTTCAAAATAAATCAAATGAGATGAAAATTTGATTAAAACATATCTCCCTCTTTAACTAATAATATTGTAGGTTGTTTAAACTAGCTTATTAATATTAAATGCTCACCAACTATCTAAAAAAAATTCACTATGAATGTTCATTCTTTTTCGATAAAATTTTAATGGTTTACTTCACTGTTATGCAATGTTATCATATTTCTATTTTCTTCTCCATGATAGTATTTTGAAATGTACAATTTTTCCCCAAAAATCATGTAAAAAATATTTGTATTCAATGTGAACAACTAGTCAATCGCTAAAGAGAAGCTTGACGAATAATCTGTTAAGACTCGGGGTTCCATCTTAAAGTCAACCTGATAGCTAGAATGAGTGACTCAAAGTCTTATATAGTGTTTTACTGTTTTATAACTTTCTAGGACAAATACTTGAACACGCTAGCTTCCTTAGTTTGAATCGGGCTGGACAATATAGGAGTGTACAAATGAGCCAAATATACCATGCTTTAACAAGTAACCCTTAATCGTGGATGTCAAACAAGTCGTCAAATCACAATTGAATATTAGCTCTTCTATCAGGTTAAGACTCGGAGTTCCTTCTTAAAAAGTCAATCTGATAGGAGAAGTAACTCAAAGTCTTATATAATGTTTTATTTTTTATAGCTTTCAAAGTGTGAGATAAATACTTTAACATATATATTTCCACAACATTAGCTTGGGATCATTGATTGAATGAACAATCAAGAAAGGCCAATCATGTTAGAGAAGGATCATTGATTACTGCAGAAAAAAACTTGATGCAAAATCCACTCTAGTTTGTAAGTTCTCCAGCATTAAATGGCTGGTCTTCACCAGAAACTATACGCCTTTTTAAGATTGTAAATCAACAATAGTCTACCTCATAAATAGTGGCTCCTGCCACGGTTGCATACACAGAGCCTACTCCTTCCCCATGTGTCACAAGCAACAATTTTATTTATAATATGGAGTATATTAATTTTTGTCTAATTATGTAGTTTAAACAAAACTTAAATGTTTTTTTAATTATATTTTAGTTTGATGTTTAAAGATTTTGTAAAATTGTTGGGATGTGCTCTTCGAGCAAGTTTTTTCTATAATAAATCAGCAAACATAGTTAACTTTATATATTAATTTCATCTGTAATGTGTTTATGACGTCTAAATATTGAAGTTAGTTTTATGTTATGCTTAATGATCATTGGTATCAAATCATAAATAATCAATTTTTTAAAATTTCAATTGTTAGTAGCTAGATCCACACAAATGAATATATGATTATTCTAAATGCAAGTTAAAATTGAATTTATTAATTGAATTGTACATTAGTTGAACGACAATAAACATCTATCTTTATAACATTACTATTTTTTTCCACGCGTTGCGCGATAGAATAAACGCCCAATATTGTTTACTTTTTTAAAAATTAAGTACTATCGTATGTAGTATTAATTTCCTAAAGGTCTCATTTCTACTCTTAATATACTCTAGCTACTTTTACTACGATTTCCACTATACCATCTATACAGAAAACATAATAACAGGATCTACACATTCATTAAGTCATAGTAAGTGCAATAGAAAGAGAATAAGAGATACACTGGCTTCTCAACTTAAGGCATTGAATAAGCTATACAAGTGTGCTCTTGCCTTTAAGCTAACAAATGTAAAGTTTATTTTTGTTAAAAGGGCAGACAAGTTAGGCCATTATTGTGATATAACGTACATGACAAATTGACAAGAGCTCATACATCATACAAATAACCATAATCAGATATATCACACTTTGTATAAAATGATAAAGATATATCTGCACATTTACAGTACAGGAGATATTATTATTATTATTATTATTATTATTATTATTATTATTATTATTATTATTATTATTATTATTATTAATCTTATAAAGTGTTCAATATTAGTATCAAGCATGAGTAATATTTGAATACATCAAGTGTAGCAAACAATTCTGCTAATTATAATACTGTCAAAGGTTGAGCAAAGTCAGATGAGAACTATGTTCATCTAGAGCCAATGCGCGGAGTTCTTATCAAGCATTTTCAAAATCAGTAATAGATCGATCCAGCAACTTACTATGAGTAATCAGTAAAGTTTCCAAACTGAATCAGAAAGTTAATTACCTATAAGAGTTCATATGGACATTTCAGCAAACACATAACATTCACAACAAAGGTAGGGGATGAAATGAAATAAATAACAACAGTGGACTGTAATTAGATGACTGAAACCACATTTTATGAATTGAAATCCAACAAATACAGAAATGAAAAACCAACACGAACAAGGCAGAGTAACGACGACAGTTAGTGAACTCGAGTTAAATATTAAGGGAATATATGCTGAATTAGAAGAGAATGAAGAATTTACAAAAGGATGCCAAGCAATCCAGAATTGTTCTGTGAACTTCACACTACAGGGATAGCACTTATGTATAGCATAGAACCAGAGCTTCCAAGACTATCCAATATCATACATAATTTAGCACCATGACTCCAGGAGCAGCAGTGCAGCACAAAGATCAATGCAAGGACGTGATCTCCTGATGAGATGTCCAAAGCTAACACTGCTGCTCCAGATGCTGCATCAATTCCATATATCATTCCATTTTGATATATCAGGTGCGAGATCATAGAAATTCGGCAACGAAAAGACCTTTTAAAGTTTACATCCAATGTCGACTTCAATTGCCTCAACATTAGCCTCATTCTCTGGCTTTAACCAAACATAACGAGGTATTAAATCAGAGAGTCTAGGTCATTCTGTTTCAGAAAAGCTTCCGGCAATGGAACACTTGAGGAGTCGGCATCTCCGTCTATGACCTTGTGCCGGAATTTTCTGCCAAAAGGCCACCTTTATAGCGATCGTCTCTCCACCTTTATTAACGGGCATTGATAATTAAAAGAATAACTTACACGCCATAGCATTAACGGATAGAAATGAAGCTGAGTTCCTGTTGGAAGTAAACACATAAACAGAAGCACACTATACTATACTTAACATGATACGTATGAATATAGTATGAACAACATGATCATCAACGAACACACTTTGCTATTCACTTTTTAAAGAGGAAAAACCCAATAGTACATTGGATAAAAAAACCTCTTACGCACTCCCTATATATAATACTTCATACTTTCAAGAACAAGATGGATGCACGAACTAAAAGAAAAAACTACACAACAATAACTACCCTCCCACGTTCATACGTTCATGAAGAAAGTGGAGGGAGTTATTCATGCATGCATGAAATTAAGTTAAATAATTAAAATGCAACTTATGTACGTATGACTAGGCTAACACGTGGCACAACTTTGGCTTAGTAATGATCAAGTTTACGTCCAACAATCTCCCCCTTAAACTTGATCACTCTTTTGTAGACTTAACACCAATTTTCTCCTGCAAATCAACAAATCTTTGTCTTCCAAGCGGTTTTGTTAGTATATCTGCTAACTGTGTTTCAGTCTTGGTGTACTCCAGCTTTAACACTTCTTTTTCAACACACTCTCGTATGAAATGAAATCTTGTATCAATATGTTTGCTCCTCTCATGATGAACTGGGTTTCTAGCAAGGGCAATAGCTGATTTGTTATCAACTTTAAGCACTGGTTTCCTACACCTTTTCCCAAGCAAGCTTTCCATCAACTTCGTAAGCCAAATTGCTTGACAAGCTCCTCCTGTTGCAGATATATATTCAGCTTCGCATGAAGATAGTGCTACGATTCTTTGCTTTTGAGATACCCATGTAATTGGACTGTCTCCCAACAAGAATATAATTCCAGTTGTGCTTTTCCTGTCATCAATATCCCATGCAAGATCACTGTCACTATAGCCAATGAGACATTCATTTTCTTCACCCCTCTTGTACACACACCCCTTGTCAGCTGTCCCTTTTATGTATCTTAGGATTTGTTTCACTGCATTCATGTGTGCAGTTGATGGAGCTTCCATATACCTGCTCATAATACCCACAGAATATGCAAGATCCGGGCGGGTGTTTACCAAGTATCTCAGGCTTCCAATGACACTTCTATACATGGTAGTATCTACTTGCATTTCACCATCTTGTTTGCTGAACTTGCTTCTAGGCTCCATGGGAATACAACAAGGATTACACTCCTTCATTCCCATTTTTTCAAGGATTCTGTTTGCATAACTTGTTTGACTCAGTGTGGTTGCCTCCTTTCCTTGCTTCACTTCAATTCCCAAGTAATAGCACAGAAGTCCTAGATCACTCATTTCAAACATGTTCATCATATCCCTCTTGAACTCCTGAATGAGTGTGTTGCTAGAACCTGTGATAACCAAATCATCTACATACACCCCCACTATTGTTACTTGGGATTCTGCATTCTTTATGTATAGAGCATGCTCATAAATACACTTTGTGAACCTCAAAGATCTCAGACATGTATCAAGCTTTTCATTCCATGCCCTAGGAGCCTGCCTTAAACCATATAAGGCTTTATGTAGTTTTAACACTTTCCTTGGGTTCTCTGCATCTTCAAAACCCTCAGGCTGCGTTACATATACTTCTTCCTTTAATTCACCATTTAGGAATGCTGTTTTCACATCTAGATGATGAACTTCCCATTCCATATGTGCTGCATGTGCTAGCAATACCCTCACAGTTTCCATTCTAGCTACTGGGGCAAACACTTCTGTGTAGTCTATTCCATATCTCTGTGCATACCCTTTAGCTACCAACCGGGCTTTGTACTTGATTATCTCACCTTTTGGGTTCTTTTTCAGTTTAGAAACCCATTTTAGCCCTATTGCCTTATGGTTTCTTGGTAAATCTACCAGTTTCCAAGTTTCATTTTTCTGTATGGAGTCAATCTCTAAGGTCATTGCTTCTCTCCATTTATCATGACCTGCAGCCTCTGAATATGTTGATGGTTCTTCAAGTGTCAGAAAACACAGCCCCACTTCTTCACTTACTTCAGTTGTGGCATCATAAATCTCTTGTAAAGATCTGAAATTCAGAGGTCCTGAACTTGAGCTTGAGCTTGATGAGGTTATGGGGGACTCTTGTGATGTGGATGAATATGAACTATCTGAATCTTCTCCTTGATGATGTGATAAATCTTCTGCCTGATTTTCATCCCCTCCCACTTCTCTTATTGTGACTGTGAATGTGCTTGGGTTGTCATCTTTTTCTCTACCTTGCTCAGCTTCCCAAGTCCATCCTTTATCTTCTTCAAATATAACATCTCTACTCACCAAGATTCTCCTCTTGAATGGATCAAACAACCTGTAAGCTTTTGATCCTTCTTCATACCCAAACAAGACTGCCTTTGTGCTTCTGTCTGCCAGTTTTGTGAGATGAGGCAGTACAATTTTGACATGAGCTAAACATCCAAATACACGCAAGTGTTGTACATTTGGTGTTTTCTCATACCAAGCTTGATAAGGAGTGATAAGTCCGTATTTTGACACGTATTTGATGCGTGTTGAGATCAGCTTTTGATGGTTTTCCCAGCTTTAAGGTGTTGCAAGTCTCAATTTTAGCTCAAGTTATGTTTACCGGGCGTTGGTTCGAGTTTTTTGTTGTTTGTAGTCAAAATCAGGGAATTTGAGTCCGGCACCGGCACTTGAGGAACAATCGGATGATTTGAGAAGCATTTTAGAATGATTTGATAGCTTTGGAGGTCACCGGAAGATTCACAATGAAGATTTGAAGGAAAAAGAGCTCTAGGACTGGCTTCGGGATAAAAAAGAAGACGAATAGAGCTTGAAAACGACGATCAGGATGACCTTCTGTCAATCGTTCAATCATATCTCTTTGTAGAAACAACCAATGGACACGATTCAAGTTCCATATGAAAGCCAACTTCAAGGGATACAAATCATATGAAGACACCGTTGCGATAATCGGAGAGGAAGAAGGTGAAAACAGATGATGAAGTCAGATGATCTCTGCTGCGATTTCAGAAAGACACCTTCCACCGTTTTGATCATATCTCTTGATTGGATGATTCAAATCACATTCGGCAAATTGGGGTGGATAGAAGACTTCATCATCTACAACTTTCATGAAGAAAGCATTGCCAAATTCGGAAGTGAAGTAGGCACGATCGTGCCCTCAAAGTCAGACACGATCGTGCGTGAACAGAAAATACCGCGAAGTTACTGCCTGCCAGGCACGATCGTGCCTGGAGGGAGGCACGATCGTGCCTGCCCAAAATGCGCGTTTTTGCTCCGGAGGCACGATCGAAGGCACGATCGTGCCTGGCATCGTGTCTGGCTCCGAAAATTCTAATTCAGCTCAAATTTCACCCGATTTTTCTATTTAAACAGCCTGTAAACCCCCGTTTTCAAGGGGGGAGCTTAGAGAGAGTGCCTAGCACGAATTTTAGAGGGATTTTCAGCCTTGTTCATCAATCTTTTGGTATTCTTTGTAAGTTCCACCTTTTTAATTAATGACATTTAATTCTTTTTATTCCAATTCTGTTGATTCTTCAATTATGAATTGTGAGTAGTTTTAATTAGGGATTTGGGGTTGATGAAGGGGTTAATCATGATTGATGGCTAGATTCTTTTCGGTTTAATTGCATGAATGCCGTTTAATTTGTGTTTGAATAATTTAATTGATATCTTTTGTAACCTAGAATCGCGACTAGAATTACAATTGCATGTAGAATAAATTAAGAGAGATCTAATTTGTTCTAGGACACATTCACACACACTTAATCGTTCACTAAGAGATTAGTAGCGATTAAGGGGCCGTAAGCTCGCTCGTCTTGGCAATAATTTAGGATCCTGTCGCATGAGAGATCAGCCTGGTCCCCTAAATTATTGTACTCTACGCCGCGAGAGCGGTAAGAACTTAGTAATGATTAGCTAGGCTCAATTAAATTAATTTCATGTAATTAGGCCTGATCTGCCAGAAATTTGGTTACCCCGGAATTGATCCCTATTCCCTTCGTCATTAATTAGAAAGAACCCCCTAGATTAATTGTTCGCATTAGTTTTATTTTCCAAACCAATCATATCTCGCACGACGCATTTATTTTATTTAATTTTAATCGCTGAATTTAGTTAATTCTTAATTCCCTTTTGTCCGTCCCTGTGGAGACGATACTCGTACTTACACCCTATATTACGATCTATTTTAAGTGCGAGAAAAACACACATCAGTTTTTGGCGCCGTTGCCGGGGACGGTGTCGGTTTTAAGGGTTAATTAATTTCAGCGAGATTTTTTTTAGTTAGTTTTTTTTTTTAGTTCTTCGTTGGATTTTTCTGTGCTAACCTTTCAAGTTTTTTTCAAAGAGGCATGAGATGAACCCATTCAGCCAAATTCCTGGAGGAAGTCCTTTTCCCCAAACCTCCATGGAATTTTCACCATATACGCCATACCCTCCTTACACTTCTCCTCCTCAATATTACACACCTCATCAAAATTACTCTCCTACACCACAAAATATTCAGCCTTCTTATCCGTACACTCCAACCACACAACCCTTTCATTCTGATTTTTACTATCCTTCATCACATTACCATTGGGTAAGCGTAAGACGAGGCTCCATTCTTGAATTTATGCTTCTAAATAAAACGCCTGAGGAAATATCTGAATGTTTTAAAGGTAGCATTTGTTCCTTCTGTGGAGGAGGTCACCATTTATGTCTTTGCCCCATCAAACCTCTATATGACCATCCTTTTCGGGAAACTGCTTACCCCACTTCTTCCTCCCCACAATTTACGAACACAAATGTTTCAGTCACTCCTACATACTTCCCGAGTAATGAGCCTCATAATCAACAAGAGGATCTGGAGGAGGCAGATTTAAAGAGACTTTCTAGCTTGGAAGAATCACTCAAACAATTAGGGCAAATTCAGCATAGAGCGGACTCAAGGATGCAGAACAT